AGGGGGTCAGGCTGGTAACTCGCCCACGTCTGCAACCTCTAGGGGCTGCGCTCTTCACGAGGGCTCTGCCCCACCAGACTTGGCTCCTTTCTGACAGGCTCCCCCTTCAGTCAGGGCCCCGGAGAGAGAGGAATCTAGCAGCTCCTGCCCTACAGCTCCGCAGCTGCCTGCAGGCTCCGGCAGGTCCCAGCGCCTGAGGATGGAGCGGAGATCAGGTTTCTCCAGCTCAGGATGGAGCCGAGGTGGCCGAGTCAGGCCTTTGCTCAGGCCTTGCCCTGCACTGAGCCTCCAGACCAGGTGTGGACTGGACACCCTGGGCCCCATCCTTTACTTGTCTGACCTTATCTCCCACCACACTTGGGCTCTTTCTCTCTGCTCCAGTCAGCTAAACCCTGCTGAGCTCCACCAAGCATGCCCCTGCCTTTGCACTTGTTCCCTTTACCTAGACATCCCCGCCCACTTGCTCCCCAATATCCTCCAGCCTTTGCTTAAATGCCACATTCTCGGCAAGGCCCTGCCTACTAGAACTGAGCCCCCACCGCAGCCCCTTACTTCCTATGCCCCTTGCCAGCTTCAGCTTCCTCCTTAGCCTCACCACTATGTTCCTGATTATGGCCTGTCTCCCATTGAATAAGGAACCTTATGGCGCAGCACGGAGCCTGGGGTGGGTAAAATAGTGGACTGTCGCCTGCTCCTGGGCTAGGGGCTAACTCTGCTGGCAAAGAGTCATACTCTGGCCCAGTATTTTAGTTGCCCGAGAATCCAGACTAAGACCCAGCTTCTAGATTGCTGTGAAGACACGCTTGTCCACATAGGAAGATAGAGCATCTTTTAGTTAAGTTTACGACCTCGACTCATCTGGTATGTTGGCCCTACACACATTTTTGCCTGGAGCACCCATATATTAGGGCTGGGATTTTTAAGTTTTCTGCATTTCTGTATGCCTAGCACCCGGAACAGTGCCTGACACTGAACGCATGCTCAGAAAATAGTTAAACAGGTGAGTTTAAAAAAACCCTGAGAATACCCCCAAGTACTCAAGGGGGCCCCAGAAGTGGTTGGAAATGCTACAGCTTTTCTGTATCAGGGCCTCAGTTTCTGCGCTGGGTGGCGCCAACTCTGCCTTGGGTGGAAGGAGGCTCCGTATCTGATGAGCCTCTGCCACTGCCTGCCTGCGTGCCTGCCCCACACCCCCATTGTAGCTGGAGGGTTTTTTGTTTTTTCAATTCTAAGCCGAGGATATTTTTACTATTGCTTTTCAGAGTGAGTGGAAGAGAGAGAACAAGAGAGAGAGGGAGAAACATCAATGTGAGAGAGACACACATCAATCGGTTGCCCCCCCCCGCCCCGCACTCACCCTGACGGGGCTGGGGATCGAGCCTGCAACTGCAGTATGTGCCCTTGACCAGAATGGAACCCGGGACCCTAACCACTGAGCCAAACCGGCTGAGTCTTAATAGTAAAACGAGCCCATACTTGAAAATCAAGAGGACCTTGACCCCCAAACTGTCACTTCCTGACTATGTCTGGTCTTTAATGTCTCTGACTCTAGATTTCCATTAAAAAGGGAACCATAAAACCTCTCTCCCACGGTTGTGAGTGGGAGAGTGTATGTAACTGACTCCAGGCATGTGAAGGGCATGGCCAGTCACTGACCAATAATTGCTGCTGCTGCCACCACCTCTGTCATCACCAGTGTCCTAGGCAGTTCCTGGCACACAGCAGACTCCTATACTTGGGTGGCAGTCATTGTGACTGTTTTGCCCTGGGGCTCCCTCCCTCCCTGAGACCTCAGCCTTGGTTGCCAAGGTGGGAGGCTCACCACCCAAGCTGTGGTTCCGGTGAATAGTGCCCTCTGCTGGGCACGGGGGGAAGGGCCTCCAGGGAAGCCACAGCCTCCCAGACCACTGAAGCAGCTTCCTGCAGTCTGGGAATATCTGGCTTAGGGTGGAAAGGGCAGTTTCCACCCAAGGCCTGAGTGTGGAGATAAAGGAGCAGTAACCAGAGGTCAGTCCCTCAACAGCAGCAGTGATAACTACAACACCTACACAGCACTTGTATGCCAGGAACCCTTCTAAGCACTTTACAGATATTAACTCATTTATTCCTCCATTTTCCAGATGAGAAAAGTGAGGTACAGAAAGGTAAAGTGACTTGTCTAAGGTGTCCTGCCTGGAAGTTCTGGCATTTGAACTGTGCCCTGAACCACACCTCCTTGGTGGATTGTTTCAGTGGGAGGTAAGCTCTCCCCAAAGGGAGTTGGCCCCATGGAGTTCCATTGAGTCTGGAACTGGACACACAGGATGTGAACTGCCAAAGGGACTTCCCAGGGTGACTGACCACCCTCCCTAACCGGCATTTCTCTGCCTGACTTTTCTTGCTGTGTCCCTGTGTGGGCCTGTTGTTAAGGAAGGCCCATGCCTAGCATAGGAACCAGAAATTAGAGGCCTCAGCTGCTCATCCACCTTTGGTCCCCTCAAGGGCCTGGGCAAAGCCCACCTGGGGACACATATCCTATGTGCAGCCTCTTTGGTAGAAAAAAAAAAAATTGTCAGGTCAGCCACAAGAGAAACGCATGGTGAGAAGTGAGGCCTCGCTCTGCCCACCTCTGCCCCACTAAAGGGTCTTGGATGCCTGCTTTTAGAATCTCTGTCTTTTGCCATCTGAAAAATAACAGGGGCAGACTGGGGATTTTTTAAAATGCTCTGAATTTGGGGGTTCTTAAGGTGAAATATTGGAAGGATGAGGCCAAAAGATGGGTTTCTGAGCACAACCCCTTCTTCCAACTAAGTCACTTTATCTTTTTTATTGGACTTGGGTTCTAGATCTTTGGCTTTTAAGTCTACGGGATGGGGTGGTGGAATCACTTAATAGAATGAGCCTGAGGTCCATCATCCTAGACTTAACCCTTCATTCGGAACCGGGCAGCCTCGCTCCCAGCCAGGACATGGGCTCCCCTGCCTCCAACCCTCCCTAGTTGTTGGAAGACTGGCTTTGAAGCATATGCAGAGTTGGATGCTCCAGGGAGTTTAACACTGTTTACTGCAAAAAATAGAATCAATAATGTTCATGGACGGTGGTGAGATTAAACAAATGCTAACACATCGCAACTGGATGTATAAGAGACAATAAGGCAGCCTCCTTGCATGTCCTGTTACGAGAAGATAGAATGCAAAAATGGTTATGTAATGCATAGTGGGAAAAGACTAGAAGGATGCATATCCAGCTGTTGAACCACAAAACGGGAAGAATTAATATTCAGGGTATAGAAAATCAAACATTCATGTGGTTACCGTTGGCACCCACTCTGAGTGGTTAGCAAGGATGACTTACTTATTTTGACTTATTATAGGCCCTAAAGACTAGTCCTAAGATTCCACTTTGCATATAAGAAGCAGGCCCAGAGTAAGTGACATCATGTCCAATCCCGTCACAGAGCCCAGGCTCAGTCTTTCCAAATCACTGAGGCTGGGGACTGGTTCCATCACCCCGGGAATCTAGATCCATCCAGAGACCAGGCTTGACTAGGAAAGGCCACTTTTCCTTCTTGATCCCCTCCACAAATCTCAGAGGAGGAAGGCCGGCTGAACAGTGGCTGTTTGGTTTTATTATTAGTCTCCACTGAAGATAGGGTTTCAGGTTTATTCAGGCTTCTCGGAGAGGAGTTTAAGATAAGGGGCAGCAGGTGTTTGCTGGCTGAGATACCTAATCCTCCCACACGTTATCAGCACAAGCAGCAAGGCCCTGGTGGAGGGGAACCTGAGGCCGAAGGAGCCAGAGGCTGCAGCTCAGGGGAGAGACAGGAGGCAGCCTTGACTGTGGGTTAAGACACTGGGTGAGGAGGTTTCTTACCTTAGTTCCCCACCCAGAGTCTGAGGCTTCTGACACCCTCAGCCTCGTCCTTCAGAGCCTCAGTCTTAACCTTGCGTGTGCCTCAGAACTACCCGGAAGGCTTGTTAAAACGGCTGGTAGGGTCCCACATGCAGAATGATTCTACAGGTGATGTGGATGCTGGTGGCCCAGGGACTGCGCGTGGAGGACCACTGCTTTACAGAATGGCTCACTCTTGCAGGAAGGAAACATCTCAATGTCAGCCATCTTTTCAGCTTCACTTCAGATTCTTTCCTATTGGTTCATTGCAAAGAAACATTTCAACTTTGCTTTAACGAAGGCACACGTGAATCATCCCCACCCCGACGCCTTGTCAGCCTCGTTCCTGCATCCAGGCCTGGGTATTGTCAGGAGCGCTCCAATTTCATAGACATGCTAGGTGAGAGTTCTCTTTCTGTCTGGCTCGATTCTGATGATCAGGTGTCATTTTAAAAAAACACAATAAGGCCATTCTCTAACGGAGGCGAATCCCCTCAGAGGGTGATTGCGAGGATCAGTGTAAAGGAAATCTCTGAAGTTAAAGTGCTGTCCAGGCCTAAAAGGACTAAATGGTAGCCGATACCAATGAACACAAATAGCACTTACTGTGCACGCCAGATATTAATTCACTTAATCTCCGTAAGAACACATCACTTTATGCATGAAGCATCCGAGGCAGGAAGAGGTTAAGTGACTTGCTAGGAAGTAGCAGAGTCAGACCCTCCCCAACCCCTGCCTTTCAACACAGAGCCCACAGTGCAGAGGAAATCACGCTGTACGTACACCCCGGAGAAGCGCAGTAACCAATCGAGAAATGCTGTCGCCGGCAGCTCTGGTGGGGCTCAGCTAAGGGGTAAGGAGGTTAACTGGCTCTCTCATACAGACGAGAAACTGAATCTGCAGGGAGGAGAGCAGGTTCGTCCCACCTGGGCCTTTAACAGAATCCTGAGTTTCCTTTACTATGCGGAGGAAGATGTGGTGAAGCCAGTGGCGTTAAGAGTGCTCACTCCCCTCGCACAACTCTGAAAAGTCTAAAAACCATTGACTTTTACACTTAAGTGGGTAAATGGTATGGTATGTGAATGATATATCAATAAAACTACTTTAAAAAAGAGTTCACTCCCCTGACATCTCTGGGAAAGTTCCTTTAATAAAAAAGTTCTATTACATTTACACGATTGTCATCACCTGTTGTCTACAGCACTCCATAGGGAAAATAAAAACAAAGGACAACCTAGTCGTGCTCAGTATAAAAAGGCAGTAATCCATTCAACTAGGAGGCCTCTGGGCCTGAAGACCAGAGAGAAATGTGTAAGGCCAGCGAGCCGAGTGGCTCTGTCCTGGGCTTCTGGAGGGCTCCAGGGGACTGTTGAGGACCCGCCTCTAACTTTTTGAAAATAGCATTTAAAAAAAAAAAACCCAGGTTGTAAAAAGAGGCCTCTTTCTAAGGAGAAAGGTCCAGTCCAGAGAGAATGTTATCATGGAGAGTCAGAGTTGGTCCAGGCCCAGGACATAGGGCTGAGGAGTTCAGGGCAGGGAAGAGACTCCCAAAAATTCAGTTTCCAAGGCATCTCTGCCCTAGGCTGGGAGGTTTTCAGTGCTGAAGTCAAACTGCCCATGTTTGAAAGGCTTAGAAACCAACCCCTCTAATGTCAGTCTCGAAGCCTCCTCCCTCCAAGTTGCTAAGGCCACTTCTCAACAGCTCCAAAGTCCTTGGCTGAGGGGGGACTGAGACCCTTTAAAGATGCAGCTGCGGCCTGATGTTTAGTCCCTGGCCCTGCTGGCGCGAGGCCTAGTCATCCTGGCCGTCCCCATACATGTCCGCCAGCTTCTTGAAGCGGCTGCCCCATTCGTTCAGATAGTCATAGTCTTGGTCCTGGTCAGAGGCCGAAGAGGTGATAGAGCTCAGAGAGGGGGCTTCAGAGCCATTGCCCTCATAGTCGAACACCAACAGGGAGTCATAGGGCGGGGCTGTGGGGTCCGTGTTAGCTGCCTTCAGGTTCTGTAGCGATAGAGAGCAGGTGGTTAGGAGCCGCGGGATCACACACTTGGCAGCTGCGAGAACTCAGGCAAGTTGGTTCATCTGGCTGAGCCTGCATTTCCTCATTTAGGAAGCCACTTCTCCCCTCAAGGTTTTGAAGGTTGAAATAAAATAATGCATATAAAACAGCACAGGGGTGAAGGACAGGGACTCTGAAATCAGATGGCTTAAGTCTGAACTCTGACTTCACACACTAGAAAGTGACCTTGGGCAAGTCCCTTAACCTCTCTATGCTGCTTCTCATCTCTGAAATGGGGAGACTTTCTATATTTTAGAGGAATAAATGAATATATGTAAAGCACTTATTAGAATAGTACCTGGCATAATAGTGGAACACTACTTCCTCATTTGTTAAATGAGGGTAACAATAGGATTCCTACCCTGCAGAGTTGACATAGGGATTAAATGAGATAGTATTTGCAAACTGTCTAACACAGACATTCCAGAAACTAACTTCATATAACTGGAGGCAAAAGCTCCAGATATTTAGCTCTGAGGTGTCTTCTCAAACCCACCACCCCAGGCATCTTTCCCCACATGCTTTTGTTTTTACCGAGCCCTCTCAAATATATGCTTAGGCTACTTCCAGAAGGCAAAAAGTTTAGTTTCCTTTTTTGCAGAAGATTGAGCCAGAAGAGGTCAAGCCTGGGTGAGGTACCCTGACTGACCATTGAGCCCTTTGCCCACTGCTGCTCTTTTGCACTCCTCAATCCGTCCACCCACCCATCCACCCACCATTTCTATTAAAAACCTCCACTTACTGATTGCTAGCGAGGTACCAGACTCATATCATCTATCTCCTACATACCTAGTTCAGTGGTTCTTGCAACCCTGGCTATACTTGGATTTCCTTAAGGAGCTAAAAATATCAGAACCTAAAAAAATAGATGCCAGGGTCCCAGGCATTGATATTTTTCAAAATTCCTCCAATGTGACCAGAATTAAGAACCCTGGAGGCACTCAGCTATTAGCAACAATAGCTGGCATTACCTAACAAATGCTGGGTGTCAGGTCAATGGCTCCCAATCAATTATCTGGGAGTCTTTAAAACATTCCAAACCCCGAGCCACATCTGGGTCAACTAAATCACAATCTAGTGTGAGTCCGAGGCACCAGGAGACTGCAATGTGAGGGCAGGTTGGGAGCCACTGTGCTTGCCCTGTTCCAAGTGCTTGCTCACCCAACCCCTAAAGCGACCTATACACAGGTCCCAAACCTGACTCCACACCGAATCACCTGGGATCCTTAAAAATCCCAATTCCGGTTCTCAGGCTCCAGAGTTTTCCCCTAACATCCATTATACAGGGTGGGGCAAAAGTAGGTTTACAGTTGGGAGTATATGAAACAGAGTTTATTCTTGTATTTATTAATTATTGTATTTTTTCCATATTAACAACTGTAAACCTACTTTTGCCCCGCTGTGTATTTGTTGAATAAATTAATGAATGAATCCTAATCTATTCTTTACCACTCTGCAAGTTAGAGTTTCATAAAGCAGAAAATAGAAGCCCAGAAGTTACTCAAATGTGCCACAGGTCACATAGCTGGTTGGTGGTGAAGTCAGGATTTGAACCAAGAGCCAAGACTCCGAGCCCACACTCTCGCCTGTACTGCTGGAGCCCCCATGCCTCACCTCGTTGATGAAGTTGCCAATTTCATCTGGGTTGGCTGGTCGTGGACGGTACATGGGTGTGGGTATAAACTGCGGCGCCACATCGTTGCGGAGAACTACCTTGGGCCGGGCCTCCAGACCCCGGTGGAGTTGGGTGATATCATAGTCCTTCAAGAAAGGAGCATAAGATTGAGAAGGACCCCTCCCCCACCATTTACACTTCACCCCACATCTCTACCATTTGGATGGTCTGGTTCATGGGTATGTGATTGAACCAGATTGTCAGTAATTTCTGAAAGCCCAGTCTCCACATCCCCTCTCCCAAATTAAGTGCAGGCTGAAGGTCACCTTGACTGTGGCCAAAGAGACTACAGCAATAGACCAGACACCCTCTCAGAAGAGGAGAATTGGTGGTCGATCCTGCACGAAGAATGATGCTCTAACCAGGGTCTGGTCAACGTAGCTAACTAACATGGTTAGTTGGCTGACCCAACCATCCCTGCCAGTGGCCCTGAGGACATCCACCTCCCAAACCCCAGACCTCCCAGTGCCCTACCTGGTCCTCCTCGCCACCCCCCTCTTCGCCATAGTAGAAGACGTTGTCACGGGTGTCGTCTTCCGGGAGCAGAAGGGGTTCCTTGACCTTCCGCTTCTTTCTCACCAGCAAGAACAGCACCAGCAGGAGGACTGAAAGGATTGAAGAGTGTGAATATTCACCCCCGAAACCACACGGCTGGCCAGGACCCCCAAGCCCTCAGAGCCCCATCTAGTTTTAGATCCCTCCACTCAGTAGCCAGAGCATAATGCACTTCAATAACTTCCTTGCACCCAGGAAAACCTGTAACTCATCAAAGTGTACAGGATTTGGCCCTGGCCTGTCCCCGTCCCTCCCCCCTTCCCTGCCCAGGTCTAGTCACACTGGCCTCCTTGAAGTTCCCTAAATATACCCAACAGGTTCCCACTTCAGAACCTTCCTCTGGGCTCTTTCCTTGCCTGGAGCACTCTCTATGCATATGCACGGCTCCTACCCTTCAGGTCTCAGCTTAAGGTCACCTCCTCCTGGCAGCGCTGTGACTTCATCCCCACCTATAACACTGTATCATTTATTGTCAGTTTTCCCTTATTGATGGTATTGATCCTTAGGGAAATTCTCCTTTGCAGGGATGGGACTCTTCCAGCTGATGTTACTTTTCAATAGGACTCTTTTTCAGTTCCCAAGTACCCCTAAATTAGCCACAAACTTTAAGTTAAAAGCAAAACAACTTTGAGCCCGGGCCAGTGTGGCTCAGTTGGTTGGAGTGCCATCTGGTCCACCTAAAGGTCGCAGGCGCGATTCCCAGTCAGGGCACATACCCAGGTTGTGGGCTCGATCACGGATGGGGTGCATACAGAAGGCAACCGATCGATGTTTCTCTCTCTCTAATCAATTTAAAAAACAAAACAAAACAAAACAAAACTTAGATATGGTGCAGTAATCTGAACTTAGGTGAGAGTGTTATGTTGGAATTTTGAGAGGGACTAGTTTTTAGTGATATGGTTTAGACATGGGAGGACTAACCAACTAATGCCTGGCTACACTCCCTAATGGCCATGATCACCCCCCAGTTAATTCCATAGGAAGAGGGTACTCCTTGGCCTCTCTCTGTGATAATGCTAAATAATGGCTGTTTAGCATCATCACCTTTTTGGCCTGCTGATGGAACCAACGTCTCTCTCTGACCAGACAAAACAGACCTACCTTTCTTTGGGAGTCCATGAGTTCTCAGGATGCACACCTCATGTGGGATAGACAGTGGCCTCTCCCTCCCCTTTTCCTCCCCACTGGGTCTGGGGAAAGGCAGAAGGCAAACTAGACTTCTCACCTGTACCCAAAGCTTGTGTCTAACTGCCTACTGATATTCCCATTTGGACTAGACTGGCACATCGCCTCCCGTGGTCCTTCCCAAGCTGGTAACTGAAAACTCCTGTGTCTACTCGTTCAGGCCTTAGCTCATCAGTGGCTCTGTTCCTCATACCACATATCAAGTGATGTGGATGAATTGATTCTACCTTGAAATATCACCACCCGAATTGCCATCCTGGTCTGAGCCACCAACCGCTACCCCTAGATTATGGCAATAGCTCCTAAATGGTCCCCCTGCCTCCATTCAGGCCCCTCTACAGTCCAGCACTATTCCGTAGGAATCCTGTAAACTTCAAGTCAATCCCATCACTGCTCTGCTCCAAATCTTGTCTGATGACTTCCCATTTCACCCAGAGCCCTTTCAAGAGCCTACAGAGGCCCCATATGATGCTCCACCATGCCCACCACCTCTGACTCCTCTCCTGCTCTTTTCCCCCTTGCTCTCTGCACTCCAGCCATTTCTGTTTCCACATCAAGCACAGAGCTGCCACAGGGCCTCTGCGCTTGTTCCCTGCGTACCTGCTGCATTGCTTCCTCACTGCCTTTCAGGTCTTTCCTTGAAAACCAGCAAGGCCTTTCCTGCTCACCCTACTTAAAAATGGAAGACCTCCCTCCCTCCACTTTCTTTTTCTCCATAGCAACACCTATTTCCTTGCCAGATTCCATGCTGTCTGTTCCCTGCACCCGAAAATAAGCTCCACAAGGGGCGGAATTGGTCTGTTTTATTAAGTGCTGCACCCTCAGTGCCTAAAACAGTGCTTGGTGCATAGTAAACTGAATAATGAAAGCTTGCTCTTACTGTATTCAGATCTGATTAAATGTGTGTTTTCTGTGTAAGGACTCATTTAAAGAGTGAAAAAGGCAAGTGTGATGAGTTGTACCTTTACAGCAAGTAAATTGTTTTTAATTAAACACCCCCTCCCACTAGCCCAATGGTTCTCAAACTCTAGCCTGCATCAGGACCCGCCTGCAGGACTGTTAAAACCCAGATTACTGTCTGAATCAGTAGGTCTGGAATGGGGGCTGAGAAGTGGCCTTTCTAACAAATTCCTGTAATGTTAATGCTGTTGGTCTGGAGTTCACACTTTCAGAACCACTGCTCTGGCCTCTAGATGACATAATGGCAGGAAGTGTATTAGTTCACCATGGTATCCCCAAAGCCTGGTACATTCCAGAAGCTCCATAAATATCTACTGACTGAGTGACACTCCTGAAACTAAGAGCTTAAGGAAGAGATGGGCAATGCTGATGGGCCCTTAGTCCCAGAAGTTCAGGGTAGAAGGAGGTAATCTACCCCATCCTTCAAGAGGGAAGGGCACCAGTACTCACACAGCAGGGCCAGGATGGCTCCCAGGATGGGGAGGAGGAGGAAACCCCCCTTCCAGGGTATGGGGCAGTTCTCCACGTGGCCGTGGCAGTCACACACGGTGGCCGTGATCACTGCCAGCTGTTGCTTGTTGCCATGGTCAGACAAAGAAAGGTGCACCTCGTATGTGTCTTGCTTCAGGAACTTCTTCAGTGACAAGGCCACTGCATCTCCTGGAGTGGAGAAATAACTTAATCACCTTGGGAAACTATAAATGGTAGGAGCAGAGTATATCGTATTGATAGAGGTTTGAGGAGACAGCCTCTATATCTGGGTGACAGGGAGAAATACCCCCAAAGCACACTTCCACCAAGTGGTCACTTAGTCTTCATTGTAACTGCAGAAGTAGGTACAGTTATTGGCACCGTTTTACAGATAGGGGAACTGAGGAACAGTGAGGCTCAGTAACTTGTCCACAATCACAAAGCTAGTAAACGGAGCAATCAGGTCTTGGACCAAGGCATTCTGGCTTGAGTCCACACTCTCTACACAACACGGTCAGGGAGGGAAAAATGACTTCTAGGCCACAAAGGGGTGACAGGAGACAAATTTGGGCTTCCCAGAGGAAAGGTGCTGGATATATATATACCCAAGTCACAGGAATCACAAAAATGAGCCAATGTGGCATCTGAAGCAGGTCAGGGAGTCCTTTCTGCAATGGGCCTAGCAGCAGGAATGGACACTGGGCATTTGGTTTCTTTGGGGCAGAACCTAAATGTACCAGTTCCCCATTTCCCTCCTTGAGGACCTTAGCCCCAAGAGGAAGAGGGGAGCATTTTAAAGGAGAGTGATGCAGGCCCTGGCCAACGTGGCTCAGTAGGTTGAATGTTGTCCCACACACCAAAAAGTCACTGGTTTGATTCCCAGTCAGGGCACAGACCCAGGTTGTGGGTTTAAACCCTGATCAGGGTTGCAAAAGGGAGGCAACTGATTGATGCTTTTCTCTCACGTCAATGTTTCTCTCTCTCCCTTCTTCTAGCTCTGGAAAAAAAAAAATCAACAAAAACATATAAAAAAATACTGCAACCTTAAAAATAAAAGGGGGGTGGGGAAGTGCTGAAATGTTTTTCCAGGACCTTACTGACACCTGGGGTTGGATCTACCTTTCTCATGCACCCTGGGTCCTTACCCATTTGATACCCGTAAAGCACCTCTCCAGGCCTGTGACAAATAAAAACCTACTGAAGGCCGAGAAGCTCCAGGGTTATCAGAAAAAGAAAGGATAGAGGTATGTAGGAGCAGGGTGGAGGCCAAAGGCTCTGGCTTCAGCCTCTACTGCTCATCCACTCTGCGCCCTTGGGCATGCCATTTAACCTCTCTGAGCCTCACTCTCATCTGTAAATAGGGATAAAAAAGCCCGGCCGGGCATGGCTCAGCAGTTGAGCATCGACCTAGGATCCAGGTGATCAGGGTTCGATTCCCGGTCAGGGCACATGCCCGGGTTGCGGGCTGCAGCCGATCAATGACTCTCATCACTGATATTTCTCTCTCTCTCTCTCTTTCCCTCTCCCTTCCTCTCTCTGAAATCAATAAAGATATATTTAAAACAAAAAAAATAAATAAATAAAATAAAAAAATAGGGATAAAAAATACTGACCACAGAAGTGGTAGAAATATTAAACAAGGAAACAAAGAAAAAACATCTTGCATATCACCAGGGTTCAATAAATGGGAGGCAGTAGAGCATTACCGTAAATCAGACTGCCTGGATTCAAATCCTCATGCCATTATTTTCTAGCCATAGAACCTCTGGCAAGGTATTTAAACTCCTGTAAACCTTGGTCTCATCTGTAAAATGGGTGTGCACATGTGTATATGTGATAATAGTACCTTCTGCACAGGACTGTTGAGAGGATTAACAATCTAATCTACGTAAAGCATCTGAAGTGGCATCTAGCACACAGTAAGCATGCTCAAGCATGTTAGCAATTATCATGGCGTTGGGGTCCTGACTCACTATGTGATATGGAGAAAGTCATGCCCTCCCCCGACCTGGTTTTTCATCTGTCCAGGAGGGCAGCTGGGATAGAATCATCTTTAAGGGCTCCTGTGGAATTCCAAAGGCTTACACTAGGTTAATTAGCATTTGGTTGGTGTTCTTGAGGAGACCATTACCTCTGTGACCCACAGGGTGCTGAGTGGACATGTGTGCAGGGTCCTAGTACAGGGCAAGCACCCACCCAGGAGAGCTGGCACCCACCTGCCACTGCGACTGTTACCTTTCTCATTGATCTCTGCCGTCCAGTAGATGTCCGAGTCATGTGTGAGCTGGGCCTTGAAAGGGGAGGTGTTGGGGGACAAGTCCTTGTCCGTGATGTTCAGCACTTGGGGCACAGGGCTTTGGTTGCAGATGGTGATCTCATGGGGCTCAGGGACAGGGCCGTGGTCATTGACGTCCATAAGTGTTAGCAGGAGGGTCCCCGTGCCAGTGGCAGAAGGGCTCCCTGTTCACAATCACACATATGATCCTTTTTCAGCATCTGCCCTTGGTTGGGTTGCCGAATCAATGTTAAGCTCCCCTATGACCTACCCAGTCAGCCTCAGGGAGGGTCCCGTTACTGCCCCGCTGTAGCCTCTCAAGACCCTCCACACGCTACCTTCACTATAGATCAAAACAGTGATGGCACATACAAGGCGACCGGGCCAGCATTCTCATTCTGTGTCCATAGCAGACATTACTAACTCATCAGAGCATAGAACTGCAACCACTTCATCCAGACAGCCACTACCAGTCTGTCAAAGAGAAACCTACTGGCCACCGTGGGGCTAACGAAGCTTCCCTTCAGAGCCCTATGGTAACCTCTCACCTGCCTCCAGGCCTTGATTCATGTACTATATGTCAAACAGAGATGGCAATCACATCATAATCCCCATCTTGCCATCGTGTGACATCCCTAATCAAGCATGGCACTTCTAGGTAGCCCCTTTCAATTAATCAAGGGGAAACTGACAGGCTAATTGAGGGCTCAGTGAACCACAAACTTAGGCATCAGGATATCTCTTAACTCAGGTTTTTAGGAAAATCAGAACCATGGCCAGTCACCCTAGGGCCAGTCTTTAAAAGACTCCTCTGAAAGACCCCTTCAAACCCTCCAGATTGGAGCTAACACTCCCTTACACACACACACACACACACACACACACAGACACACACACAGACACACACACAGACACACAGACAGACACACAGACACACACACACACAGACACACAGACACACAGACACACACACACACACACACACACACACACCCCCCATACTCCAGCTGTGGAGGGGACATGCTATGTTATGTGACCTGGGAACCAAAGGTGCCCATGGAAAGGGGCTGGGAGGAAGCTCTCACCATTGTCTGTGGCCAAGACTATGACTTCATAGATATTGTTCCTCACAAACCGCTCATCCTCACGATCCAAGACTCCTGCAGCAGTGACCTGCCCACTGTCTGGATCCATCGCCAACCACCCTGCTGGGTCTTTCAAGATCTGGTAGCTGGAGTGGAAAAATTGAGAAGAGTGACACCGAGAATACTTAGAATTCTGGTGTTGCCATTCAAAGCTTCCTCATGCCAACTAGCAGATGGTGTCTTGGGTCCCAGGGCTCTGAAGCAGGATCACGTGGAAAACGAATCTTACCCCGAAATGGAAGCCTTAACAGCAGGTGGGGGGCCAGCAAGGATACGTGAAAGGAGCAGGAACACCTAACCCCTGGACCCCTGCCCAGAGTCTTTAGCCTTGGGGAGGGTAGGAAGCGGAGGCAGGGGGGATGTTCAAAATACTTAACAATCTTTACAGCAATGAGAACAAATACTGGGCATGATAAACAACCCGTCCAAAAGTACCAGCGCATCTGGGTGAATCTGAGCCCAGCTCCTGCATACCTGATCTTCTGACTGCCCTTGTCAGGGTCCCGCGCAGTGTAAGTGCAGACAGACTCCCCAGCAGAGATGTCCTCCTGGACCTCGACGACGTTGGAGGGTGGGACGAACACGGGCGCCTCATTCACATCCTCCACGTGGACCACTATAGTGGCTGTGGAGGTTGGGAGCTTCACTACGAATGGAGCTTCGTTGGTCACTTCAACGTACAGTGTGTGCTGGTTTTTGGCCTCAAAATCCAAGCCCTGGGAGAGGAGGAGGAGGATCTGAGCTGCCATTTTATGAGGCCCCATGCAGAGCTGTGATGTCAGAAAGGCGGGCCCACAGCGAGGGGCTCAAGGATCTCACCGGTCACCACACCGTCCCCTCCTTACTCCATAAAGCAATCTGCATTTCCTGAGTGGACATCCATTGGGCCTCTTAGATCATCCCACCACCTCAAAGGCAACCAGACTAGTAAGCCCCAGAACTGGTTCCCAATGGGGTGGTGACGCCCCCTAGCGGGTGCTGTGGAAACTTGTGAAGGCAGTGACTGGGGATGCCACTGGCATTTACAGGCTGAAGCAGGGACATAAAGAACTGTCCCATATCCCATGTGACCTGCCAACATCCCCTTGGCTATTCGTGTATTCATGGGTGTGAAAATCTGTTTATAATTGCAATCTAGAACGTGTTTTATGTAAAAAAACATTTTGAGTGTGGTTTTCATATATTCTGAATTTTCCAGGAATGGAATTTCTGAGGGATAACTAATTTGATTTGTTCAGGCCTTCCCCAAGGGTTATTTGTTGTTCTGGGGGAAAAACACACATTAATACCACTTGTGTTGTGAGCTGCCTGAGCGACACAGTATTCCCATTTAAATGATTCTACAGAGATACAAAAGAAATCAAAGATTAGTCCCATCTTCCTAAAGCATCAGTTTTATTTATGTAGTAGTTGGATGCCTAACTACTAAGTAATGTAGAATATTTTACTATCCAATCACCTAGATATGGATTAAATACAAAATTAGCAGTAATTCCAATAAAACAAAGACCCTTTGTGTGAGAAGATGAGGACAGCCAATGGACACTGGGAACTGAGAAGAGGGGCTACACTAATCTGTTTGTTAGATTTGTGACTCTTCTGTTTTATGAACTGGGTCCCTAATTAAAATTTAGTATGAGCCCTGGCCGGTGTGGCTCTGTTAGCTGGGTGTTGTCCCATGCACCAAAAGGTCACCGGTTCGATTCTGGGTCAGGGCACATGCCCGGGTTGTAGGCTCGATCCCCCCGTGAGGGGTGTGCAGGAGGCAGCAATGCATGTCTCTCTCTCTCCCCCTCTAAAAAGTCAGGAGAAACATTAAAAAAAAGAAAAAAAGATTTAGTATGAAAGAAGGAATTCTGCAACAAAAAGGGGATGATAAAGTGTCAAAAGACACTGGCCTGGTGCACAGTGCAGAAAGGTCCAAGGTGTGTGCATCCCAGGCAGGTGTCACCTCGTCCTGGAGGCTGCAGACTGACTGTTCCAGGTGTGGCCCTCATCTAAAGCCCAAAGTGACTCACCTTCCTGGTTGTCAGGATACCCTGGTTGGTCTCAGGGTCAGTGGTGATGGTAAAATGGCCCCCATCATCACCTTCCAAGATGCGGTAGGTGGCACGCCACGCCGGTGAATTGGGGGCGTCCAGATCGGTCACTGTCAGCCTCTGTACCTCACGGCCCACTGCGTTCTCAGGCACCCGGGCCTCATACTGTCAGTGTGGGAAGCAGAGCACAGTCAGAGCAGAGACACTGACCACCCTGAGAGACAGTCCATTCTTCTCTGGCTGTGAATCCTCCATCCAACTCTAGGGAAGCCTCATGCCTCTTACCCTTTCTGGGACCACCCAACTCACTTACCAGGGTTTCAGGGCACACAGAGGCAGAATGACCCAAGACTCAGCCTCACAGCTGCTGCGACAGACCACAGCAATCTTGGGCCTGCTCTCCCTACACTCAGGGGCCTGATGCTCCAGGAATCTCACAGGTTTGGGTGCCCAACCGCAACCATGTGTAACCTCCTATTTAGCTGAGATCAGAAACGTATAAGGAAGGTGGCAAGAAGCACTCAGTGCTTGATTGCTCTGGGGCACTGATCAGGAATTTTTTGGAAGTTCTAGAACAGATGGCAAAGACTGGGAAATCAGCAGCTCAGAACAAATTTTAATCAGCTGTAAGTAATGTTCAGCAGCCAGAGTTGCCTCAAGATAGAAGCTGGTTAGGAAGAGAGAAGCATTACCTTCTGGGGATCAAACACAGGCTCATTGTCATTGGCATCGAGGACTTCTACTATGGCTGTTCCTGTGGTGGTGGAGCCGTCCCCATCCACGTCGGTAGCCTGGACGGTCAGTGTGTACTTAGGGACTTTCTGGGGAGAAGAGGGAAGTGGAAGGCCACTGAGAGTGCGGCCTTGGGAGAATGTGGAGGGGAACGGAATGTTTCCCCCTCTTACAATGCTCTCTTGACTCCTCGGCCCACCACTCACCTATTGCCCGAAAGAAGAGAAAGCAGCCAAGGATGGAAAGGGAGGGAAACTGCCCATCCAAACAGCATCCCTGGGCCTGTCAGGGGTGAAACCTGGGCATTGCCCCTGACCCTGGGCGGATGCAGAATGAGAGCTTTGAGCAGGGGTTTGGTCAACGGTATTAATTAGGAAACAGGAGGCAACTCTAGTATCCATGGAGCTAATCCTACTTTGTGGTACACAGGGGACAAATCTGGGCCATGTGCATGCTAAGTGAGCCGTTCCGAGAGGAAATGAGAAAACCTACAGAAAATATCAAATGTCTGCATTTTATAGCTGTTTCCTCAGCCTCCATGAGATTGCTTGGCAGCGTGCCATTGGCCCAAGGGAGCCGAGGGACGCCAACATAGGAACAGAGCAGCAACCACTGCCAGCTGCCTTGGGTCCCCACTGCTCTACCTAGGGCTTTGCGGGCAGGGACAGAGGCTTCTGCTCTGAGTGTCAGGCCCTGAGCAAGCCTGGGTAGGCAGCAGTCTTCCTAAGGGCCACTCACCTCCCGGTCCAGGCCACTGGAGATGACGCTGATGGTGCCCGTGCTCCGGTGGATGGTGAACATGATGTCGTGAGGTTCCTTTGGCTCTTGGCTATGAATGGAGTAAGCAACCACCCCATTGTAGGTGTTGATGGCATCGTCCTCATCTGTGGCCATCACCTGCATCACAGAAGTGCCTGGAGGGGAGAAGGGATTAGTGAGCGCCCTTGCTGCCCAGCTCCAATTCCAGCCTTGCCCACTTCTGAACTGTAAGAGGCTCCATCATGCTCAGCAGCTCGCACCCATATCCCACTTTATGACAGAGATCGCTAATTGGTGCCCATTTTTCATTCTTCTCCCCTTGTTTCTTAGAGAAATAATCCTCAAAATCTCGTTAGGCTGGGTGGGCACAGGCTCACCTGGAACAAAGACGATTTCCCATCCCTTCTTGCAGCTAGCTGTGACCACAACACTAAATTCTCACAAATGGGATTTAAAACTCTGGGGGAAGAGTTTTTCGAGTATGGGCCCTACTCTTCCCACTCTTTCCCTCTTCCCAGATGTAACGGCTAGAGCTCCAGCAGCAACCATGAGGTAATCTGGGAACCACGCCCAAACAGCAGAGCAACGAGATAGAAGGAGTCTAGGTCTCCAACACTTGAAAATACCATTCAGCCTGCCTGGCCGGGCCTGGCTCAGTAGTTGACCGTCGACCTAGGATCCAGGTGATCAGGGTTCGATTCCCGGTCAGGGCACATGCCCGGGTTGCGGGCTCAATCCCCAGTCGGGGTCATGCAGGAGGCAGCCGATCAATGACTCTCTCGTCACTGATGTTTCTATCTCTCTCCCTCTCCTTCCCTCTCTCTGAAATCAATAAAGATATATTTTAAAAAAAGAAAGAAAAAAAAGAGAAAACACCATTCAATCTGAACTGACCACCTCTGGGCTTCCTGAAGGAAAAAAAAAAAGCTTCCATCTTGTTTAAGGTACTGTTTTGCTTTTGGGAATTTCTCTTATTGGCCATCTAACTAATTCATACGTCTCTGTATATGTACTGTCCAAACTCAGAGAGGAAGGAAGAGGACCCCTCCCAGCAGCACCTGTCTTTGAGAGCATAAATATGTACCTGTTTTCCTAAGGTCCTGCTGGCCTCTCCCACCCTCTTCTCCAGCCCTGGGGATTTACTTTTCGCTCAGCATAAACCATGTTCCAAAACCTCTCAACCTCCGCTGCTTTCCTGCAGCTGCCATTTACCAAGAACTTCATGTCAAGTGCTTCATATTACCTAAGTTATGTGTGTTATTTCTAATCATTAGTTATTTAAGGCTGATTTTTTTGCCATTTTCTGATGTGAGGATTGAGGCTCAGAGGTGAAGAACTTGCCCAGGGTCACAGCAGGTGAAGAGGCAAAATCAAGATTCAAATCTAGTCTTTGTAGCTCCAAAGCTAGTGGTTCCTAAACCTGGCTGATCAGCTGAGGTTTCTGGGAAAGATCCCAGAGCTCTGCTCCAGGGTCATTCTAACTCAGGGATCTTGGGATGGAGTAGGGGAATCTGGATTTTAAAGAAGATCCCAGGTGATCTGTTGCACAGCGAAGAAGTCAGGTGTGGAGAATTCTTCTAGCCTTTAAGGGGCTGATCTCCAGATGGTACCATAAGTTGACCTACTGCCCACATCTGGGTCCAACAGACCTCTACAACTACCCCCTCCTCAATCCACTTACCAGGTAGTACCCCCTCCAAGACGCTCCCTCTAAAGACATCCTGGGTGAACTTGGGCTTGTGGTCATTCTGGTCTGTCACAATGATGGAGATGTTCATGGGTTCTTCCACTGAGGCACCGTTCTCTGACACGGCGTGGCCAAAGAGCTGAGGGCACAAAGGTCTGGGGTCAGCCTGGCGCTACCCTTCCCACCAGGCTCTGGGGCCCTGCTTCTCATTGGATATGAAAGGTCGTTACTTACCTCATACTTGGCAATCTCCTCCCGGTCCAATGGCTTATTCAATAACAACCAGCCCGTTTCCTTCTCTATGGCGAAGACACCCTCAGGGGGCCTGTCTGCTCCAGGCCCTGTGATGCTGTAGAAAATCTTGGTGCCTCTGTCCTTACTAGATTTGAGCTGGAAGCAGAAAAAAAAGGTGGGAGGCAGTTGACAAAGTGACAAATAGTTCATGATTGCAGCAAAGAACTGTCCATGGCGAGTGGTGGAGAAGCATTGCCTTATCCGAAACTGCTTCCATGACAGAGGCTTCCCTCTGCAGGCCCCAGTCCTCAGTACCAAGAAATCTTATATCCAGGCCTTTATATCCCTGCAGCCACCAATGACTCCCAGGGAGAAGGCAGAGTCATACCTGATTCAGCCTCTGAGGGAAGGGACCCTTGCCATTCTCAGAGACAGACAGCGGCGGGACCACCCATTCTCTCTTGTGTCTTCGTAAGATACGTTTGGATGGGGAGATCTTCAGTGCCTTCTTTTCCTGTCAGGAGAGAAGACTCCTTAACCTAGATATGCAAACAGCTGGAACACACCCAACATCCTCTCACCTACAGAAGTTAAGGGTGAGGGGAGAGATCTAGAGGGGTCTAATGCAAAAAGAAAATTTGAAATAATCTAAGTGTCCACTTACAGAGGAGGACCAATGAAATATTCTGTGGTACATATGTCTAGTGGAATACTTTGCAGCTCTAAAAATGAGACATAAGGAAGCTCTCTGTGTGCTGACATGGAAAGACCTTTGATGTGTACTATTGAATGCAAAGAACAAGGTACAGAACAGCTTAATATAGCTTAGCATTTTATTTAACAAACATGTAGTGCTTAATAGATGTTAGGCACTGTTCCATCTTTAGTGTTAAAAGGTAGGAAAATAAGACCGTATACTTATATTTGCTTGTACACAGATGAAGTCTGGGGGAATACAGAATAAACTAATAATGGTGAGGTTAGGCTATTTAAGTGAAAACAAAGGTGAATTATACATTAGCTTCTACATAAGAGGAAGTAAGAGAGTCTATATATTTATATATATATAAAACATAAAATATAATTAAACAGATAACATATATAATTAAACTCCAGAAGGAAAGAAACTGGTAACAGTGATTATCTGTGTCTTTTCTTGGAGAGGTGGAGAGGGGATTAGGCAGATGGAGAAAAACAAGGAGAGGTTTTTCATTGTATAATTTTAAATATTTTTTATTTTTATTTTTGAACCATGTATATATTAGCTATTCAAAAAATTAAAAGAAATAATGTGTGGCCAAGTGCCTCATGTCCATCTTCCCAGAGGCTCATGGGATTGGAGTTCTGTGTTGGAATTGCTTTCACTTGGGGTTTACCCAGATATGGGAAAGGAAAGAGGTGGGAGAGAGAATATCCAAGGGACAAGGGCATTGGACCAATTACTCACAAGGCAGCTCTCTGCTGCCCCTGCTGGGCAGCTGAGAGCACTGCACTGTGGCAACTGAAAACTAACACTGCCTCCTCCGAAGGGACAAGGTACTTCAACAGGGCAATCTAGGCATGCACAACCAATATCTCCCTTCCATCCTGCAGGTGGACATGGTGACTTACCTGGGCTGTTCTGTCGTTCAGTACAGTGGGGTCGTCGTCAGTGCTAAGCAGGCCCAACTCTTGCCCAGGGCAGCCCATGAAAACTGTGGGGGAGAGAGAAAGAGTATTAGGAAGGAGGGCCGTCTGGAAGCTACCCCAGGGAAACAAGACCTGACAACAGCCCCCTGACTGGATCAAGGACTGTTCCAGTCCACTGCAGGAGGAGGCTTGGCTTACTGTATGGTTCTGCTTAGATGGCGTACTTAGAATCATCAAATTAATATAGAGAGAAAGTAGAATAGAGATTACCAGGGGCCAGAGAGAAGGGGGGAATGGGGAGTTCCTGCTTAATGGGTACAGAGTTTCTGTTTGGGATGATGAAGTTCTGTAGGTGGGTAGTGGTAATGGTTGCACAATATTGTGAATTTACTTAATATCACTGAATTGTTTCCTTTAAAATGGTTTTATAAATGGTCAATTTTTATGTTATCATATTTTAGCTCAATAAAAAAAGTGGAAGTCTGACATGAGAGTGTAAAATGGGACAGTCATTTTCGGGAACTGTTGGACAGTAATTACCAAAGCTAAATATACACATTCCCCAAGATCCAGCAAAATTCCACTTTGAGATATAGACCCAACAAAAATGCATTGACCGAAAGACATATAAATTATAATGTTCACAGCAGCACTGTTTATAATATCTTAAAAGTGGAAACAGTCCAAATGTCCATCAAGGTAGAATGGATAGAAACATCATGATATATTCACATAATGAAATGAATCAACTACAAGGATATTTGACAACATGGATAAGTCTTACAAACATATGGTTGCGTAATAGAAGCCAGATCCATCAAAGAACATATGCATGGTTCCACTGACATGAAGTTCAAACAGGCAAAACTGTCCGGTTGGCATGGCTCAGCGGTTGAGCATCAACCACAATCCAGGAGATCGTGGTTCAGTTACCGGTCAGGGCATATGCCCGGGTTGCGGGCTCAATCCCCAGGAGAGGGCATGCAAGAGGCAGCTGATCAATGACTCATCATGGATGTTTCTATCTCTCTCCCTCTCCCTTCCTCTCTCTGAAATAAACAAAAATATATTAAAAGCAACAACAACAAAACAAAACAAAAAAACAGGCAAAACTAACCTAGGTGAAGGAAGTTAACATATTGGCCATAATTTGGGGGAAGGGGTTAGTGAAGGGGGAGAGGTAAAGGGGGACTTAAAATCATACAGAGCTTCCTCCCGCTCCCCAGAGCCCAGTGCCAGTTCCCCAGAGCTCACGAGCTCACGCATAGAGGCAGGATCCTTTGTGGGAAGGCTGGAATGTGCCCACGAGAAAGAGAAGATTGCTTAGAAACCAGCCCTGCCTCCTTGGCAACATACCTACTGAGGAGTCATGGGCTGTGACACGCCTGGCCAGTGGGAGGAGGGGAAAGAGAGATCTAGGCCTGATTCAGCTCCAGAGGGTCCCGGGGGCACTAGATCCCCACGGAGACCCTGCCCTTTACCTCCAACTCACAGCTTTGTCATCTCATATTCCAAGTTATCTTGCTTTGCTTTAGGGCTAAAGGGACCAGGAATGACGTGTGGCAAAGGTTAAGTCATCTTTTGTTGTTGTTGTTGTTGTTAATCCTCACCTGAGGATATTTTTCTATTGATCTTCAGAGATAGAGGGGAAGGGGGGCATCGATGTGAGAGAGACACATTGATTGGTTGCCTCCCACACGTGCCTAGACTGGAGCTGGGGATGGAACATGCAACCCAGGTACGTGCCCTTGACCGTGCCCTTGACCGTGCCCTTGACCGGGAATCAAACCCGTGACCCTCTGGTGCGAAGGCCCACTGAGAAACACTGGCGAGGGCAGGTTAAATCATCAGAAGCTTTACCTGAGGCCTGGCATCCCTTGGTTTGGAAGGAGAGAGGCATGTTCTCAGAGAGGTATTCAAGAGCAGGAGGACCAAACACACTTTCTCCTCGATGTCATAGGAAGAATCAGAAAAGCTTAAAGGGAATACTTCAGCTCACCAGGTAATTCACTGTTGCTTAAAGCTGTGTTAAGGATGTGAGCAAAGGTCCCTCAAAATTCCGTTAGCTGGAAACATCCACAGGTTGATGCAGAACTTGAATTAATTTATTAGGAATTTAGGTATTCTCATTTGGAAGATGGAAATTAGACTTCACAAAGCCATCTTGAATATAAAATAAGATAGAACCCCAAAACACACATTTGTAAACCTCTCTGCCATCAATTTCCTCAGCTTTCTAGAAAAACTAACCAGCAATGTATTGATTGTAATAGCAAAGATCCAGAAAACCTAAACATCCATCAATAAGTGGTTAACTTTATGTGATGATACCACTTCTACAAGAGAGTATGATGCAGCCATGAAAAGCTATAAAAGATGAGGAAGCTCCTATGTCTTGAATGTAAAGACCTTTAAGACATATTGTTGATTTTAAAAAAAAGATATAAAACAATGTAGTCTCTGCAAAATGTTAACATTTGTATTTTTAAATTGCATCAGAAAAAATTCCTCCGGAAGGTGACTCAAAAATTGGTTTATGGGTGGAGAAACCAGCACTGAGGGAATAGGGTTGAGACTTTTTAGTGTATACTTTTTTGAATTCTGACCCAGGTGAATGCATTAGTTATTCAAACACTGGTAAAAAATTAACAGTCACTTTTTCCATTCTTAAAACAGCCCTCTTCCTAAGGGAAGGTCTCCAGCTACCAGAGGGGCTGGCCAGATTAAGTCTATCAACAATTTTCCTTCCTGAGAGACTCTCAATGAGCCCTCCAATCCTCCCCTATCAGTTTACCCAGCAGGAAGCTAATGGACTGACTCCCTTATTACTCAGAAGCCTGAATCCCCTAAACTCTAAAAGCTGCCAGAAACCCAGAAACCCTCTTTCTGCTTTCTACAAAATCTGCCCCCCAGGAATGTGAACACACTTCAGTACCATTTGCCAGCCCATTTCCATTATTCTATGGTTCCAAATATTTGTAGCACAGTATCTGGGCTGTCCATCTATTCTTTTTTAAATATATATATATATTTATTGATTTCAGAGAGAGGAAGGGAGAAGGAGAGAGAGATAGAAACATCAATGATGAGACAGTCATTGATCAGCTGCCTTCTGCACACCCCCCCCCACTGGGGATCGAGCCCACAACCCAGGCATGTGCCCAGCCAGGAATGGAACCACGATCTCCTGGATCATAGGTCAATGCTCAACAGCTGGGCCACGCTGGCCGGGCTGTCCATCTACTCTTAGAGGGAACAGCACCAACGATCAAGAAGCCAAGAATGATGTATCCCAAGTGTAAATGTGTCCCACTCAGGCCACATATTCCAGTTGCACCAGAGAGCCTGGCCCCACCAGGTCCAACCTGCGTTCAGCTGGATGCAGAATACAGCCAAGAGCATGAGTCAGGCAGGCAGGAACACACTCCAAAAACCTGAGACACCTAGCTAAGTGTATTCCTATCCAAATACTCAAAATAACCTGCAAGGTGGATATTACCCTCACCCCACGCTATTCTGACAACTCAGGAAACCAGAGGCTGCCTGGGGTTGAAGTACCTCAGGAAGAAGCCTCAGACAGGTAAGTATACGAGGTCCCACGACCAAGAAGTGGTAGGACCAGATTTCAAATGCTAAAGGCAGGTAAGCGATGAACATGAGATTTGGAGGCTGAAAGTCTTGGGTTCAAATCCATATTGTATGAGCATATGGAAGCTGTTCCCGCCTCTGAAAATGGGAACGATCATACCTATCTCATAAGCTTACTGGGAGGGTTAAATGGGATACTGTTCACACAGCACCGAGCGCTGTGTCTAGCCCAGAGTAAGCCTTTAATAAAAGGTGCCTTCAGCCTACTCACAATTAACCTAGGCTTCAGACTCCAAGTCTGGGCCTGCCTCTGCATCATAGACAAACCATCTCTCAAAGTGGGTAAGGGCTTAGCTATAGTCAAATGCTTTGCCTGAGGGATGAAGCACAGAAGGGAGGAGGAGACACACCGGACCAAAGAGCCTAAAAGGGAGCCGGCTCAGTCTGCATTTGGAGAGGACTGTTCTGCAGGCTGCTCTGCGGTGTACTGGGGGAGGCAGAGGATGGCGATCTTGCGGACGGGCTGACCTGCCCACGGAAGCTTGCTGAGGCAACTGTAGAAATATGAGTTTTCTCTGCAAGCCGTGAGTCACAGAGAGACTGGTAAACAGTAAGCCCTGGGGCAAAATCATTACAACTTCCTCCCAGATGCTTCCTGGCATCAGTGGCTTGTATCACTGGTTTCTAAATGAAATTGATCTAAAACCTGGTCTCATAATTACTCATCCCTCTTCCACCCCACCTTCTAACAGCTAGTGAAGTAAGCTGATTTCCTGACTGCAGCCTAGCTCCACAAGGCCACAAACCTGGGCCAAGTCATGAAGGCATGAATGGGCTTGTGTCAAACTTTGGGGGACGCTGGTGAGCGCTGATGAGCACATGAGGCAACAGTTCAGATCTTAAAGCTAAAAGCCAGGGACCTAAACATTACTCTCCACGTGGTACCTTAAACAAAGTCATCGACTGCTTCAGATTCAGTTTCTCTCATAGAGATTGTGAATCACAAAGTCAATGAACTTGGTGAAAAGGTAGGTACTTATACCGATATAAATTGATAGCTTTAGTCACTGAGCCTAAATACATAATTCCTAGACTACTGTTGAGGAAGGGAGTTAATAACCTGAGACTGTTTCTAGAGAAATTAATTTATAAAAACCAGAGCTGAGTATCTGCACTAGATAGAAAGACATCCAGTGGACCCAGGAGTCCCTGACCTGTGCTCAAAGCTCCTCTCTAAAGACCATCCTGCCAAGCCTACCCTCAGATCTTGAACTGGCACCCCTGTAATAAAACTTGGGCAAGAAGAGTCATGTCCCTGGGGTACTAGAGCTGTGGCAAAAAGAAAGCTTTTTAAATAGACTTAAAAGAACTGATGGATACTGGGCTGAGAACTCATTCCAGGCCTGCATTAGGTTGGAATTGCCTAGACACCTCCAAACTCTCAAGTGAGCACCCTTGAAGATCAGAAGCTTGTCTT